TTCTAACATTTCAGACGTTCTGGTCAGCAGTGGTCTGGTTACTGGGAACACTGGGTGACTCCTAAAGAGCACAGCTGCACAAACATTTAGTCAGAAATTTTGGGATCAAATGTTTTTTAGATCGGCTGCTGGATGTCACCAAGCATTTGAATCCTTGTGTGCACAAGGCTGCCGTGCTGATTTTATTCTGAAAATCATTATCGGACTGACGGACAGAGAACTGGACGGATCTGATCTACTGATGGATAGAAAGTCATCCTCTGGATTTGTTCCTGTGTTTTTCTTTCAGGGGTTACACAGGGAAGAAACTGCAGGACAACGTTCAGTGTGAGATCTTCCAGACCATTTATGAAGAGGCCATGGAGTCCTACCCCGAGGAGATTGTCCACCAGCTACCAAGCAATACCCCCGAGGACCTGGAGAAAAACCTTGAGCAGCTAATTCAGTGGACTGAGCAGTGGATGAAGGACCATAACTAAACTTTCATGATTTAATAGGAATTTATACTAAAAGATGTATTTTTATAGATCTTTCAAAAAAGAATATTGATGTTTACTCGAGTCCTGTTAGAAACCCATTTAAAGCTACTTGTTTTATTTGCTCTGGTTCCACTTTGATCCGGTTTACAGACGCTGCAGGAACTGAAATCTCTTCCTTCTTTCAGAATCATCTGTTCCTCTGTGTTCTGTGAAGAAATCATGACTCAGTTTCTTGTATTTCTTTATACTAAATCGTGGCTTCCTGGATTTTCTGAAATGTTATCATTCAATTATTGCTCTGCAGCACTTTGGTGCAACTCTTCTTATTAATTCTGCATCAACTTAAAACTTTAAATTCTTCTCTGTCGGTGGGACTAAAAAGTTCTTAATGCCAAAATATCGTGTTTTTTTTTTTTTTTTTCTTTTTTACTTTCCTGAAATGTAGAAGTTAACAGACACACAATTGTGCAAAAAACTTATTTGACAAGCCTTTTCTTTTTTTTAAAGTATCTCTCTGATAATATGACCTCTAGAATGGCAAAAAGTGAACTTCAAATGATCTTGAAATAAATGAATAAAATAGAAAATCCCTTTATTGTCCCACAATTGTGGGAAATTGTGGCGTTCCAGCAGCATTACAGCAAAAGTGCTCACACAAATGTAAACCTTAGAAGTGTATATATAAAAAAAAAAAAAATACTATACTTTAGTGTTTTTGGCAAAAATAAAAACTGTTTATCTGAAAAATATTTTTTTTTAATGGTAAAGCTTTACAATACAGCTCCTCTAACAGGTAATACATTTCTAGATATGTTATTAATCTGTAAACACTTCATTGATAAGTTTTAATTATTCATTAGTGAACGGTGAACAGAGGACAACTGTCACCAAATCATGAATCTAACGTTTGCCTATTTTATCTGCTGTTGCTTATAATCAGAGATGGGAAGTAACAAAGTACAGATACTTTGTTACTG